ATTTATAGGAAAGTTCCCTAGCTTTTACTAGTAGTACTACCTATTATATCTAATAGTTATCAACTTATATATGTTTTATTAATGTTATAATATGTGGTTATTAATAATAACTAATAATAACTTATTATAATATAGAAGTCAGAGGTTAGAATACTAATTTTACCATATTATTTCCATTAATCGAAATCTTAGTTCCRGGGRTGGGTAACTAATGYCCACCACTGTGGCCCTCAAGCTTTTTTTATCTGGCTCSTGCTACTTTTTAAAATTATATCATATCATTTTAAAATTTATTGTCTATGCCGCAGTGGTCCCCACTCACATGCRGTACTTTACCAAAGTTCATGCGACCCGCACTAAATCAAATTGTAGATACCTTTTAAAATCGAAAATCGAAAGTTCAAAAAATACATTTGTGTCGTTCATGAAATTTTCCTATAATTTAAAATAATAATTTTCCAACACTATAGATTCACTTGTCTATACCCTATAATGTATATTCTATATCTATAGTCTATATAGGTACTCAATCTTATCGATGTAATAATTATTATCTGGTATTTTCGGGTATTAAATATCGTTAAAATGTCTAAATGTCATATATACTATGTAATATAAATACGCACGTATTTATACGTATAGCTTTCACCGATAGGTATAGGTATACCGATCTGTTTAATTATTATATCAGTTTCTTCATATCATTCGTGTTGTGCTGTTGTTGAATTTACTACTAATTACTGATAATAGTGATAATACTATTAATTCACATTATAAACAAAATAAATGCTAATTAAAATGTATATTTTGAATGGCCTTTTTTTGCTCTCTATGCTCTGGCGGTCCACCAAATTTTAATTTTCTAAAACTGGCCCTCTAGTATACTATAGWCTAGTTACTTTGAGTTGCCCATCTCTTTCAATTTTATGACGTATTTTATTAATATTTATATCACTATACAGTGTCCAGTGAGTTAAGTAAACATGCTGAAGGGGTAGGTATACTTAAAAGAATATTTATGAAGATAAAAAAACCCATTTAATACACTTGGGAGGCTATTAGTCTTACTTAGTTTTAATATTTAAATATTTGTTATTTTCCACAGTATTTAAAAAATATCTATTTCAATAACCCATATGTACTATAACTTAAATAATAACAATAATAAACTATAAAGTACCTACCTAATAACTATAGTTGGTATTAATTTATGGTAATGGTTACCTACCTATATTTGTAAGTTATGATACTCTTTGTAAATTGTTTCGCTGGTCTGCGTGACTCCACAGTGGGAAACTTTGATTTTGATATTCTAAACGTATATACTTTAATAACACATTTATATTATAAATCAAATATATTTATTTTTACTGTAGCCKAAATGTATTTAGAAAACTAAATACRGACATTTTTTCATTTAGAAAATGAATGACTTCAAATTCCAATGAGTACGGCTTTGTGCTGTGGAAACAAACTATGAATTCTCGAAACCCGCTTCAGTACTGCAGGTGTATTAAATAAGTTTTTTTTTTATTTACACCCTGATTCAGCACGACGGTCACCTAGTTAATTTCGAAGWCCTAAAGACTAAAGTGTACCTAACATTAGAGTATAGGTCTTAACTCTTAAGAGTCATGACTCATGAGGTTAAATTTACCTAAGAACTGTGGTTAAATTATTCGATCGACCACCGGCCACCGAAACCACGTATGACGTATAGGTAGGTTGTAGGTTACCTATATCGATATCCTATACCTCGAAATCGATTTAAGTAAGTCTACATTTATAAGTCAAAAATGTTAATTCTATAACCCAAATCTAGTTCATCGTCCCTTAGTACCCCTTCACCATCTACCGAGGCAGGGTGTTAAATAACGCCGCTTTGAGAACCACTATAGTCTTTATCATACACATAATAGGTCTAAAATAATATTATTCTCAATATATCGATGGTTTATGCATCTAAAATTACTGTATTCCATGACCAGCCCAGTTAAATGAATCCTTAACTATAAAAATTGCCCACTAATTAATTTTATTTAGCCTTATTCATGCTAATAATATAAAGAATTGAATACTAAAATAATAATACCTATATCACTTTAGGAGATTAACTATGTTGTATATTTTTTAACTGTTAAAACATTATTGTAATAATATTAGATATTATTTTTTATTTTTTATCGAACTTTAATAACATAAACAACAAAGGTTATTAGTTATTTRGCATCATAGCTAAATAGTCTATTTAGCCATGTTTGGCATAGTGCATTATAAATAGGTAAGGTATACATTAAATATTATTTTAAGTACCTATCTATGCCCTTTATAATATTATTTCTATCTATGTCTGTGCCTTGTGGACTACTGGACTGTGGTTTTTATCGTAACTATATATAATAAAATGTGATATATATAATTGTACAAATGTCAAATACGAATATAGGTATAAGGTATGATCATTTTTATGAATATTATTACTATTGTCTACGCGACTACGTACGGTCTACAGTACGTACATTGTACATCGATTATATCGTGATTTTTCGTAAGTCATAGATTATACAAAAATCAATAATAATGCAGAAAAATAGAAGATTTTTATACTAATAATAATATTATATTCTTATATTAATAATAATTATAATATAATCGAAATCGATGCGTAACATAGTTGCATATTATCACAGAAMAATATTATATTTTGATAACAACGCGATCAGCTGCTGAATAGGTTTAGTAGTTGTAGTTGTTAACTGTTGTGGCCTTGTGCMGTGTCAATGTGTCATTACWCATTCGCACACATAAACAAATACATACACAATCAAATATCAATATTCAACGTGACAAGCCAACAAAGCCTGATTATAATAATAGTAATTGACATTATATCATTTTTTAATTTTGATGATAAATTATAAGTTAATTTATTATTATAATTACTTATTAGTTATCATTAATAATACAACCCAATCGTCTTCAAAAGTCTTCAGAATTTTAAATTCTCATTAAAWCATTTGATTGCAATACCTACRTAACATTGGTTATTGTGTGTGTATGTATGCCTTATCGAATTATAATATTATATTATAATTACAAACATTGAGAGTTTAGATGATACTATAGATGATACGTCATACGTTTACCACTTTACCAGACTATAAAACTATAAGACTATAATATCTCTTATTTGATATTTTGTCCGAATAGGATTAACTCGTAAGCAAAGGTCTGCCAGTCTGCCCAGTTCTTTATTCTATGAGTCAGTCGTTGTTATCTGTCATCACCCTATTATTCGCATGAACGTCGTACATTTTCAATTTTTTATATTTATTTTAGAAGTTTGAAGATTAAAATTTTGGAAACCTTCTGAAAAATGGACGTTGAAGACGTTTTAAGCGATGTGGTCACCATGGAAGATCTTAAGGTAAGTCTTTATAGTTAATCAATATAGGCGCACATTCAGTCTTAAACTTGGGAGTGCGAAAAATCTTTTACCTCTAAATGTCTAGTGACAGTTACACTTACTATTTCAAAAAGTTACAGCATTACTACATTAAATAAAAGTCTGAAATCAATGATTCTGATTTTCGATATATCCTATAACCGATTATTATAAACTATTATAATATTCTTAAATGAACAAGTGTTGCAATCAGTGTCGTCTAAATTTTCACTAGGTACTTTCATTAGTTTTTATTATTTTTTWATTTTTTACTCAATTTAAATCTTGATTTAAATGCACTGGAAATATTGAAACAACTAATACAATTTGAGTAATATAAAATATTACATTTACTACTTGACACCGCATTAATAAATTATTGGTATTTATGTAGAAAAAAGGAAATAATGATAAAATAAAATAATTCAGTATCAGTGATGTTGTCACTGAATTGAGAACACTATATTAAAAAACTACTAAGAATAGATGGCTGAAAATTTCTATACTATTAAACTAAACAATTTTTGTTAATATCATTATTTTTATATTAATAAATCACCATTCCGATAGACATTGCAGTACCTATACAAAAACAAAATTTTTTATTAAAAATTAGTGCATTCACCAATATAAATTGGAATTAAYTCATTCTAAATGCAAAATTACACTTTAAACAATATCTAAACTTATAGTAATTTGGGGGTGCTAATTTAAAACTTAGAGGTGCTAAGGCCCCCCCTGGCACCTCCGTATGTGCRCCAATGGATGAATTTGAATTCTTGATCRCCAACGCTCAACAGTTATTTCTTAATCTTTTGTCAGTGGACACTGATTTATCATTACTGTTTTTGATTTTTAGTAGATAATTATTCTGTTTTGTTCCCCTCTAGGTTTGCCAATTTGTGGGTTTTTGATTTATTTTTGATGCTGAAATAGTAATTTTATTGAAATCRTTTTGGTTTTTATTATTAAAGAAGGTTAATGACATACATATTTTTTCAATTATCATATAATTTTATTTAATATACTAATACTAAAATAGATTAGTTATGTATAATGAACATGAGTTGAGTGTGTGGAAAGAAATACTATTGCTCAGTTATATTATTACATCTACAGTTGTCACGAGAAAGTGCTTACTTTATCTTAATTTACCTGAAATACTCATAACATTTATTATGGCCTTGTTTTCTTTAAGACTGAAGTTTTCTTTTTCCATTTGCTACAATTTCAAGGTCATGACACTTTATTGTAACATTTGTCATCTGAAAATGTCATGTATACCTATTATATTAACAGTAATATTGTAGTCTGTTAAAAATAAAAAATTACAGATTGTTACAGGTATAATATTTTTATTAAAATCTTAAATATTTATAATTTTCAGAAATTTGAAAAAGAATATCATAATCAACTCACTACAGGAACTGTTTCGCAAGAAACAAAGTTTCATTACGCTTGGTGCTTAGTGAGAAGCAATTATCCAGCTGACATCAGAAAAGGACTCATATTATTGGAGCAGTTGATCAAGCATGAAGCTAATGATGACGATGCTAAACGAAATTATCTTTATTACTTAGCATTAGGAAATTCAAGACTTAAAGTAAGTAGCGAGTATATACCTTGTGTTTTATGGACTCATAAAAAAAAAAAGTACATAAAGAAATTATAAGTACCTATATTATATGTTCCTATTGATCATTAGGTATATTTTTATGTGATTTTGTTATTATTTTAAATGTTTTAACAACCAATATATATTTTTCAGGAATATAGTACAGCCCTGCAATTTATTAAAGCTTTTTTACATATGCAACCTGAAAATATGCAAGCACAAAATTTGTTGGTTACTATTCAAAAGAAAATGGAATCTGGTACGTTTTGAAAATAATTTAATCTATTTTGATCATAATCATATTCTTAATATCATTATCATAAATGCCATTTGCTTCTTTATATTGTTTTACACACATTAACCTCTTAATAATTATAAGGATGGTATCATAAATATTAAATACGCATTGTAGTTAAATAATATTAAATTAAATTATTACTGTTATAATCCATTTACACTAAGAATACTTAAAGGTAACAACCAATTTATTTTTTGTTCTTAATAAGCCTCATCTTAGTCAGCACTTATAAACATTTTTAAATTATGAGAATCTAAACTTGTTTTATTTTTTGATATTTAAATGTTTAAGTATGAATATCCAAAAAAAAAACCAAAAAAAATAGGAAAAAATACGCTATAATATTATTTATGCTATGAATAATCATTTTTTAAATTATTTCAGATGCACACAAAGGAATGGCGGTAGCTGGAGCTTTGGCATTAGGCCTTAGTGCAGTCGTCGGGATTGGGTTTGCTCTGTCAAAAAGCTTGAAAAAGTGATCGCTATATTTAGTTAATTCTATTGATTGTCATTTTATTCCTGTATATATTCCAGTGTTAAATTTATTTAAGCTTAAAATTTATTACAACCCAATTATAATTTGATAAAAAAAAACATAATTATTATTGTGTATATGTAAGTACCCTCATGCATAATAAGATTGCATCAAGTAAAAACCTTATTGATAACAATAACAATAAGATTCAAAAAAACAGAATTATTTATTTTGTTCTAAATGGATAAGAGACATGCCAATGATCATTGTTTTTGAAATAGATATTCTTACCAAAAAAATGTTTAAAGCATTTGTTTATAAAGGCATTATTATTTAGGATCAATATGTTGATACCTTAACTATTAATTTATCAATGCATATTATTTACTATTTAATTATTAATTATAATATTTATTATGATTTATGAATTATGGTCCATAATTCTTTGTTCCACATAATTTTAAGTTGTGAACATACACCATACTTAGAAAATTTAAATTATCGTTTGTTATCTGTTTTAGAAATTTAATTTGATAATTTGGAGTACAAAATACTTTATTTTTTAATAGTGTAGATAATAGTGTAGATTTTGGAACACAATACCTAAATATTCTGAATATTTAATCATCTTTTCATTTTTTGGAAGCTTTGTTTTGGTATGGTGATATGAATCATTTATATAATATTACATGAAATGTTTTATGTTGATGAGGATTTTAATATTTAATTAAGATTTGAAAGCTTAATAAAGACGTCTCATGATTATTTATGTTTCTTTTGGTTTTGATTTGTTTATTGAATATGGAAATCACAATTGTTTATACAAGTTAGACTGCTAGAAGCTAGAGCTCATGAAATGCCTTTCTGTTACAAGCAGCTGACACACAAACTAACAGCGCTATATTTTTATAGTGTCTTTCAGTTAATTTTATTTGCTATTTAGCTATGTACAATAACTATACAACTACATTAATTATAATTGCATACAGATTCAATACTYATGAAAATGYTGAGAATCATAATATGACTGGCACATTTTATTTTGCTACMATTTATAAAAAAATAAAAAATAGATAATAGTTTTTACTTATGGTACTAATTGTCTTATATACTGTTATAACCAATGGCAACAATTTAAAACAAAAGAAAAGTATTTTCTTGATGGCTTTTTACATCATAAAACAAATCTATTGACTAAATTTCATATTCATAACTTTTGCAGTGATTTTGACTAAGYGATGAATGATTAAAAGTTTTCTGTTCTTTTATGTATGTAGATTGGTTTTTATTACCAAAATATAAGAATATAATTAATAATATTTACATTATTAATTATTATTTATTTATAGTATTCTAAAAATAAAAAATATGTCCTATTGGCAATTACCCACAACCTTGTTAAACTCTTCAATAGTGTTTAATATATACATCTACATCAAATTTACATTGTTATATTTAATCTAAATGAACCTATTATATTTTAGATTYTGAACGGAGTGATGAATGTATTGATTTTACAATGATGTGTTGTTGTTTTTTGTGTCTGTGTACAGCATAACTAGTCGAAATAATGCTTTAATTTCAAACTTTGGTGGTGGTTTCCGATGTAAAACTGAATATCATTGATGCATTATAGAGGTCAAAAGTAAACATTTTCCAACAGTTTTCAAAACAATCGAGAAAAATGACAGAAAAACGGGAATTTTTACGCAAAACCAGTTTTCGACCAAATCGATTTTTTTATATGGTTGTAATTCAAAAACTAATCACTGTAAATACTTGAAATTTTCATCAAATGTTTATGTTAGTGTTATCTATATACAATTTAATTTTCAAAAATTGTTGACTTTTTGAGTTATTTATGGACCACTGAAATCTAGCCAAAAACCTTGAAAATTTAATACAAGTTTCCTTATGAGTTTTTCTTATTGTAGCAAAAAAAAAATAAAAATCGTTAATCACAATTTTTTTTATAAGCGTTTATAKTTCAAATTTTTACGAAATCTGTCGAAAATGCGAAAATTTGCAAGTAATTTTGAAGTTAAAAAATCATAAATTTTTTTGTGTGTATAACTAAGGTTTAAAAATACAACACTATGTTTTCCATAAGTTTTCCTTCAAGTAGCTATAGAGAAAACTCGAAGCATCATTTTACGAAAAATTTTAAGTGCGTTTGAATTTTAAACTTTTACGAAATAGCATAACGATAATGATTTATCCTCGAACGATTTTAAATATTTGTTATTATTCAAAAAGTATAAGTCGCAGATACTTGAAAATTTTABCAGTTATTTATATTGGCATTTGCTTTACCTACATGATTTAATTTTCAAAATATTTTGACTTTTTTTGAGATATTTATAGACAACTGAAATTTTCAATTTTTCTGAAATTTTTTTTTGAAGTGTCGATAACATTTTTTTGGTCCAATCAAAATACTTGAAAATTTAATAGTAAGTTCCTCATAAGATTTATCCTCAAACCAGGTATATGTATATTTATGATGATATAAGGTATTATGAATTATGATAACTACATGCAATGTTTTTGGAATAATTGATTAACCATGCCTTATGCAAAATGCGTCCTAATTGAAAAATAAAATATTTGTTGCAAAATAGATTATATGAYAATATTTAAATATAATATTTTATCCTAGACTGACAAATCATCTCCGTTCAGAATCGTTTTTCGTATACAATGATACCTATCATTGCATTCAAATTTAACCTACCCTAGCCAGAGGTCCATCCCACCCCCTAATGTACAGCAGCTAGAGCGACATCCACTTACCCGCTTTTTTAAAAATTTGATTCACATGAATGATTTTTGTAGCCTTAAAATTAATAAATACATAATATGACCAAATTTTTGTTTTTTCTATCTATACATGACGAGCGCACGACAAATGTCGACAATAAATCGTTACGTAAGAAGACAAATGACGATGTGTTGATATAGCGTAGTAATGTAATAATTGTAATATAAATGACGTTAATAACGACATAACATCACAACAGAAAACAACACTGGATTACAATAACACAAAGAATACAAKAACGTGACCGCAGTATACGAAAAAAGGTAACGGCGGACGAGTCGATTTCCGGTAGGCGACGGAACAGTTATACGCATCGCGAACAGTCTACGAAGATCAGTGAAAAACATAGTGGGCTCGCAATTGATTTCTGGGATGGTGAGGTTGCGCCAGTTGTGGCACAAACAGACGTAGGTAATTTTATTGTTTTCTCGTCCCAGTGCCCGCGACAGGTATCTATTGAAGTTTCGCACAATATAATTAGCGATGGACGGCGTACGTTCAAATGGTATTTGGCGATCGCGTGAACAGCGAACAAATATGTATAAAATGCAATGTTCCTGGTGAAGATGGACAGCTTTTTCGGACATTGCAACAGTAATGCTAAATGCTAATTAACATTAATCAATAATAATAAATATTTTTGAAAGGTAAACAGAAACAATAGTCAATTCCTAAAGACTCAATGGTGCTTAGACGATGTCTGCCTGAGGCTGAATATTACATCGATTAAATCGAAGATGACAACACGACCTAAATGGAATATCGATATCTATGTATATAACGACCGTACGATAGCATGACACAGTTGACACACTGTACTTTATAAAATGTATTTATAATTTATATACCAGCTGCCTCGTCGGGCATATGTTGTTATTGTTAAATATTATTTTATAGCAAGCTGAAAAAAAATTCATTAGCGAGCTAAACTTTACTATATGATTATTATTTTATCTTGTTTAAAACAATTATTGTAATGTATTATGTTTTATCGATAGAGTTGTAAATGTTGAGCTATCATAGTATTTACTAATAGCTAATAAAAAAAAAAAACTTTACTATACAAAATTCCATCGTTTTATCCCTATATATTGTCCTCACGGTAACTTCGTTGGTAATATTACCAAAATTATGATAATCGGTTATTAAATATTATTTTGGTTTATATAATATTATTCCTTTAATAATCCATGCATGGTTGCCACGGTTTCTGGAAACCTGGAAAACCTGGAAAAGTCAGGGAATTTTAAAAAGTCAGGGAATTCGCATGAAATTCTGGAATTTATATTTCAAATCGTAATTTATATTTTCCCTAATATTTCAATGTAAATCATTCATTTCGAAAAAAAAATACTTTACCTTATTGATAAAAACAATATGGAAAATATGGAACTTGTAAACAATAAATTAGGTATTCCCTAAAATGTTTAAAGCATATTATATCCATTGTCAATTTAAATTATTATTTTTTAAAAATAAAATAAAATAAAATAAACGTTGTTAGGTATATTAAACTTAAAAAAAAATCAAAATTTACTCTTAAATTAATATATATGGAAAAACATGGGAAAGTCAGGAAAAATGACAAATGAAATATTGTGGCAACCATGTAATCACAACTTTTGCTTAAATCGAAATTGATTTTTTATTATAACATAGGACATAGGTAATAAGTACCACCGTCCACCATACGTCTTGTGCGTCTCAATACACGCACCTCAGCACCTGTGTATAAAGTTTTACCTAGACTCGATGCCATTATTATGTGTATTGTGTAAAAGAAGAGGAACATACAAATGCTGATTGTTTTACATATGAAATTTTATAAAGCAAAATTAAATTAATCGAGCAGATAAATCATCTATAAAATAGGTATGCGTTATAGGTACCTAACGCGTATGTATAACATTAATTAGTTTTAAATTACGTTTTAGAATTTATTTAATATAACTCTAAAATATAAGATTTTACTGTGACAATTATACAAATTTTACGAGAACCACGTAATCATGTTAACAACGAGTAAATTGGTGGGAAATATCTGATAAGAATGGGTATTAAATAAGATATAAGCCCCCTCAAATGTCTAACAGTATTTGCGCCTATGATTATAAATTATAATAAGAAATAGAAATGTCCTTTTTTTGGAATTGTACTATCAATGGTTAATAATTGCAGTCCTTTGCCAAATTGTAATTTCATAATATGAAATAAGTCATTTTACATTATTTTTGTTCTCATAAGGTTGTATTCATTGAATRAATGATTGGATACTGGAACTGGGTACCCGGTAAGGTGACGGTGACACATAACTTGGTACCTATAGCCCATGTGTAAATATGAGGTTGGATTAAAATAATCCTGCGTATACACGATACTGAATTTTTTGTAGTTCGGCGCCACTGGCTGCTCCGCATGACCAAGATTTTGAAAGCCTTGGTTTTGTTTTGATCATCATTAGTTATGCTGCAGGTAGCACATCTAGCATAAACGTACGTGTCGGTTCAGTCCCGATTCAGTTGGGTTAGGTTAGGAATCTAGTTAGGTCTTAGAAAGAGTTACAGCAGAAATGGTTTACTTCGGTACCGGAACGCTCATACAGAATAAACATTGGGTGGGACGGGTTAAGGATTTAAAGTTATATACTTGTACGATAAACATAATTTTGATAATATATTTATTTAAAATATTATAGGAAATGTATATGACTCGTAATATTTATTAGAATAAAATAGGAACCAACATTTTAGGCAGAAACTATTGTTTATGTGTGTGTGTGTGTGTGGTGTATGTTTACATACCTACTATATTGTTATCAGACAGGGGCGGATCTTCAATATTTTGATAGAGGGATCACTAAAAATGGTATTATTTTAATTTTAATTAATAGCAAATGATTATAACTTATAATTCAAAATATAGGTATCGAAGACACTAAAGCTGT